AACTGTTAGTTCATTCTTGGGTTCTGTGAGTCTGCTGCTGTTTCGTTTTCTGCTTTGTTCTTATGCTCTACAGATGAATCACATCATTTGGTACTTGTCTTTCTCCACCTGGCTTATTTCACTGAACATAATACCATCTAGCCCCATCCATGTTGATGCAAATGGTAGGATTTGTTTTCTTCTTATGGCTGAATAATATTCCATTGTGTATATGTACCACAGCTTCTTTTTCCATTCATCTACTGATGGATACTTAGGTTGCTTCCATTTCTTGGCTACTGTAAGTAATGCTGCAATAAAATAGGGGTGTCTTTTTGAAACTGGATCCTGTATTCTTAGGGTAAATTCCTAGGAGTGGAATGCCTTGGTCAAATGGTATTGCTATTTTTAGTTTTTTGTGAGGAACCTCCATACTGCTTTCTACAATGGTTGAACTATTCTTCCTTCATATTTTAAGAAACTCAAACTCCTTACAAAGTGAATAAATGTCTTTCAGGCATAAGAATGACTATACAAAGTGTCAAGAAGACTGCCTCCTCATCCTTCATTTGTTTTCATTTTAAATCTGATGTATGGAGAGATTCCAATTATTTCTATAAAGAAGGAACTGTGCAATTCAGAAAATGTATTTCTGTGCTGAACTGAGAGCTTATAAAAATAGCCAAAGAAGTTAAAAACAAAAAAGGAGAGAAGATACTTCACTACAGCACTGTTTCCAAACTGAAGCCAATGCAATGTCGATTAACTTAGGTGATGGGAACAGGGTGGTATAACCATTATGATCCTCCCAGAAGAGATCTCACCTACCTATCCCCTGATATTTTTCAACATTACCTTCCCTGGTTTGAAAGCCTAGACTCTTCCAACAATGCCTGAATGAAATAAAACACTGGATATGAGGAATGTGACAAGTGAAAAAAGCACCATGTGCTCTTTATTAAATGTCTATAACATGGAAAAGGTGGATGGGTGGGGAAAGACAGGCTCTGAATTCCTTCCCATAAGCACAACCATTTGAATCAAAAATCAATGCATTAAAAAATGGTCAAAGGATTTGAATAGTAATTCCTCCAAAGAAAATAAACAAATGGACAATAAACACATGAAAAGATGTTTAAAATCGTAAGTCATCAGGCACACACAAATGAAATGAAAATGAGATACCACTTCACGCGCACTATGATAACTCTAACAAAAAAATGGAAAATAACAAGTTTTTGCCAGGATGTGGAGAAACTGAAACCTTCATTTCATATATTGCTGGTGGGAATGTAAAACAATACAGTCATTTTGGAAATCAGTTTGGCAGTTCTTCAAAAAGTTAAGCATAGAGTTACCACAGCACCCAGTAATTCCATCTAGGTATATACCTAGATTTGAAAACATGCATTTATGGTTAAAAACCATAAATAAGTTTTTAACAAAAACTTAAATATGAATGTTAATAGCAGCATTATTCATAATAGCTAAATGTAGAAACAAGTCAATGTCCATTGAATTATGCATAAACAAAATGTTGTGTTATTTTTACAATGGAGTAACAGTCTGTAAGCACTGACATATCCTATAACATGGATAAACCTTGAAATTATACTAAGTAAAAAATGCCCCATATTGTATGATTCCATTTATGTGAAATGGCCAGAAGAGGAAATTACCTAGAAAAAGGAAGTAAATGAATGGTTTGCCAGGGGGTGGAGGAATAGGGAATGAAGAGTGATTGCTAATGGGTACAGGGTGCCTTTATGAGGTGATGAAAATGTTCTAGAATTAGACAGTGGTGACAGTTGGACAATATATACTAAAACCTATGAGCTGTACACTCCATGGGGATGAATTTTATGGTATGTAAATTATGTCTCAATTTTTTTTAAATAAAGAAAAATGAGAGCTACAACCTAGTTTTTCAAGGGAAATTCAACTTGAAATTAGAAAAAAACAAATCAATACATCCATGTAAAAGCACAGCACATGAATAGACATAAATGCATCTCAACAAATTCTGCTTAGATGAAAAACATGAACATTTCAGTGGTATTATTACTGAAAAAGGTAATCATTATTCTAGCTAAGATTTATTGCTTATAAGGCATAGAAGAGAATAACAAATGGAGAGAATGTAGATCAAGAATCTGGTCTTAACATTTTCCAACCATGTGTGGCCTTAGGCCATGAAATCTTTCCGTGACTCAGTTTCCTTTTCTGTAAATTAACTTACCTCTCAAAAGTTTTTATAAACCTACTAAATGAAGCAATAGCTGTAAAGGGCTCAGCAAACTGCCATGAACAAAGTAAGCACTCAATTTACACAGAAATAGGTTACTGCCAAATATGCTCTCAAAACACAAATATTAAAAAGAAACAATGGGGGTAGCAGGTTTGTAGGAATGTGGCAGAAACATGGTGCATCAGAAGACAGGCTCAGAAAGAAACAAGAAAGAAGTAAAATAAAATCTATCCCTGTCATCCATACATTCCTACTTGTCAGGATAGTTTTATTATAGCTTAATTAAAAGTGAATTACCTCTTAATCATAAAGCTGTTTTTTGCTGAATTGAAGGCTGGGCCTTCCAGACACTAAAAAAACCAGTGGGACATGGTTCCAATTGAAAGTATTGAGCACTGAAAGGGGCTTATCCCACATTAAAGTTGGTTAGCATATTATGCTGTACATCAAAATCACCTGAAGGCTAGTAAATATGCACGTTTTAGGCTCTGGTCCCAGAGATTCTAACTCATTAGATCTGGGGTAGAGCCTGAGAATCTCATTTATAACCTGCTCATGGGTGATGCCAGTGCTGCTGGTGCAAAGGCTATACTTCATGAAGTACTGGCTTTGATGAAATGACATTCTATTTGCTCAGTTCTTTCAAAAGAAAAACAGAGAGGTGAATTATCTTTCACTTTTGGGCAAGTTCAAGAAACTATAATTACTTTGGAATAAATGAAAAGAACTGTGTGATTAAAAACAACTGCTAGCATTTATTAAGTATTAATTATCCATGAAGCATTGTTCTGAATACTCTATACAGATGTGTTGTATCTAATCCTCCTAGCCAACTTGTGAGGTAGGTACTCTTATCCTATCCCCATTTTGTAAATAAGGAAAGTGAGCCCCACAGAGGTAGAGCAATTTGTCCAATAATATAGTGTGTATGTTTTGGCACATATGTACTGTGGAAAACTTTTAAATCCAGTAGAATCCATAATATCTCAAGATGATATGATTGCAATTTGTGTCATTTACATGTGTATCAGCTGAAGATAAATGAGACATCATTTTTCACAAGTCTCAAAAATTCTACAAATATAAAAAAAAAGGAGCATTTCACTTAAAAACCATAATTTTCTCTACTTTATAAACATGTATTAATCTTTTTAAAATACTAATCATTTTCTTAAAAAGAACACTGAATTTCATATAGCCTGATTTCATATAAAAGAAATTATCTTTTTCTAGCCACTTTGTCTATAATTAAGAGTGACAATAGCCAAAATTTAAATTAGAAGACAAACTTAAATTTTATTTCAAAATCATCTAGTGATAGAAAAGTTTATGTATCAAAATTATTTTAAACATCATGTGTTTAGTGGAGGAACTTCTACTGAGAGGTTAATGGGTAAAGATTACATACCTTGTTTTTAAAATAAACCTCAATTGGCAAAATGAAACCAGCATACCCAGATTCTTCTACTTTGTAAGGTGGATCTTTGCACACTGCAACATTAAAAGAGAAAATAGGTGAGATGAGAGTAGACAGAAAGACATCCCTCTTTCAAAAAGAGGAAATACCATTCTACATCTAGATCATCTTCAGTTTTTGCAGCCCTTTGCCAAGACCCCATCTGCAACTCTGTCCTTTATTTCTTCTCCAGAATCTATAATCATTTTCAAATTATTTTTTTGAAAATATAATTTTCAAAGCAAATATGTAGTTACCTGTTCAAATCTTGGTGGGGGCAGGGGGTAGAACATCACAGTCAACCATGATCATTAATGACTTAACTTCTGTTGTTATTACCCTGCCCTAAAGCTTTAGGCAACCTGAGGATAGCTTATGACCCAAAGCTTGGAAGTTTCCTAGCGAATGTACTATGTCTTGTCTTTGATATGCTTCTCTGACATATCCTGATTTCTTCCCCAAAAAGTGGCAGGACCTCCCTCCTTCCTTAGAAAACCCCAAACCTAGAGTCTCCCAACGTTACTGGAGCATTATTAAGTCACTACCCTTTACCTTCCATCAAATAAGAATGCTTATTGAAATGTTGGTATACATACAAACACTTAAAATCTATTGACATTCTAAGATATAAAAGAAATGATAAGGCTTTTGTGTTTCTTATGAAGGAAAATTATTAAGGCAAGTTCTTGGGAAATGGGAGACACCCTAAGAAGCTAAACAAGATTTTATCCCACTAAAATTTCCATTAAATCAACATCAGTCACAAGCCAACTGAAATTTTCTAATTAAGACTGCATTTGGTAGGACCACAAAGAAGTAAATATGTACATGCTGAACATCAAGGCCACACACCCAGGTAGCCCACGGTCCCTGCAGCAGAGTTCCAGCCTACCTTCTGCCCCCATCTGTCACCCACCAGCCTGCTGTGCTTCATTCAAATGCATCAATTCCCCCCACATATGTCCAACATTTCCCAACTGTGCTCTAGCCTCCTGTTATTTCTTCCATCACACCTTGACGCAACTCTAAGCATCCTCTGCTAGTTCCAATTCCAATTTCTTCACAATCCTCTGCTAGTTCCAATTCCAACTTCTTCACAAGGCCTTTCCAGACCACAAAGCATTCTCTGTCTTCTCCTTTTACCCTCCCAACACACTATCTGAATTCCTGGTTTTGACACTCAACTATATAGCCATATATTCAGGAATCTCATCTATAATTTCCTTTCATTCCTCAAGGACAGAAACATCTGCCTCAGAAACAGCGTCAAGGGCTCAGGCACACGTAGGCGCAGATCGAGCTCCACCTTACACTGGCCAGGTGACATCTGCAAAGTTGCTCCAATTCTCTGAACCTTGGTTCCTCTTCAGGACAGTGTAGGGATTAAACAAGAGGATGTATGTAAAAGATACAGCACACATCCAGCCACAGTAAGTTCTCAATAACTGAATGAACAGGGTAAGAAATCTAACCTTTAAAAGACCCAATTGTCAGGTAGCCTTTTCAGATGAAAACAGAAAGAAGGCAGCAAGCAAAGAGCCTGGGATTTGAACTAGAAGACTCAGGTCCTTGGCCCTAGACTAAGGGTCCTCTAGACTCCTCTAGTTCCTTTCTCTTTAAAAGTGAGAATACCATCTACATACCCATCAGCATGGCTGTCAAGATGCAAGAAGACTCTGTGGGGAAATATAAGTGTGAAGCATGATGATAACATACATGAAAATTAGACATTCTGGGAGAACAAATATGGTTCCAAAGAGGTGCACAAAGATAGGATTTTGACACTTGATAGTCTCCTTTGGCTCACCTTAGAAACACATCCCCAAACTGAAGTCAGAAGTAAATCAGGAAGGAGGCATCTCACCTACCCTTCCAAGTATCTCTAATAAAAAAGAAATAAGCAGAAGGACTCAGAGTGGCTCCAGTCATATCCATTGACTACCTGCCAACCTGTCATGAATGTTCAAATACTCTAAACACTGGGGAGGTAATGCCACTAAATGCACTGAGCACTCCCCTACCCCCACCCCACCCCAGCTAGAGTACCCATGACGTTTCCAGGAGCCCCTTTCTGGAACAGCAGTTTCAGTGCCCAGATTGTCTGGGATGAATCATGCCAATGTCATTTGAGGGAAGTGTATTCTGTGGGCTGCTGTACATGCCAGAGAAGTTATAGCTGTTCCTCTAAGCACCCTTTTGTATAATTCATTTTCTCTATTCTGCATGCAAATTGCTCCTATTATAGGAAACAGCTGCAGTGAGCACATCTTATAGTTGAAGGTCTTAGATTTTTTTTCCACCCTCTAAAGGAAATGATCTGTTATGTATTAATATTCCATAGAAGTCTGGTTTTATATGAAACTGTTTATCAATTCATACCTAAATTATTTTTAAATGCAGTATTTTCATAAATAACAATGAACAATATCTATAGAGCACCCTGAGTTTTTAATTAGAAGCAAACAATAGAAACTATATATACAATAAACAAGCCAGAAAATCAGTAGCAATACAAATAAAAACTCACAGTTGCAATCTGAAGGAAGTCAAATTAGGAGAAGTAGTTTATTTATTTACTTATTCCAGTATCTTAAAACCTGAATCATTAACATGAATTTCTAACTTAGCTCTTAAAAAGAAACTGGAGTGAAAGTTAAGAAGCATTTTGGCCAGTAAGGATAGTACATTAGACATAAAGCAATTATTTTTAAACCACTATAACCACATTTGGTACCAACTCCTGTCACTCACCAACACTTCACTTCTTCATTAAGAATCCCTTCTCTCTGGTCACTGGCCACTGTCCCTTTACAAGATCTAAGGATCCAAACCCTTCAACTCATTCTTCCTCTCAACCATTCAAGAATCAGATAATCCTTAAAATCTAGTAATAAAAGACCAAGTTGCATAAGTTATTAAAGGAATACTCATCTATGGAAAGTCATCAAATTTTTATAGGTGACAATGAAATGGGAGGATTAATATTCATTCTTTAAACTGTGCAAATTCATTCAGTAGGATCCCTGGAAACCCTTAATCTTGTCAAATGTTCACTCTTTCAGAACATTTCCCTTGCTCCTCTTCCAAGCTTCCCTTGTTGCACTTATCAGGCCGGCAGATAAACTCATTTACCTCTCCGATTCCTCCACCAGGCTGAGCTCCCCAGGTCAGCAACCCCATCCTTATTCATATCTCTAACTCCAGACACCAACCCTGAGCCAAGTAAAAGGTTCTCAACAAATGTTTGTTGAAGTGAATTTTTTTAAAGATTCTTCCACCCTTCAGTGATTAACCATTATTAAATAATTTTCTTTCCAGGAGCAGTAAGGAGCTGACCATAGCCAGTGAAATTTTTCTCCAAACTCACTACAATCAACATAAACTTTCAAAAATTGACACAGGTGGTAAAAAGTGTTGCCACAGAGGAGTCTTCTCTTGAAAGCCAAATACCCAATGTGGAACAGGTTCTAAATTCTGAGAATAACAACTTTTAGAAACTGAGTTAATAAATTGGGACAGAAGATCTCCAATGTCATCTTGAAAAAAAAACCTTATAGAACCACAAATAGCATATCTGTTCTCCTCTCCTTCGACACATTACTACCCATGTACTCCAAAGGTCAAACTAGGAGACATTTTCAAAACTTTCTCTGTCCGAATAATCACATGTGACATGTAGATCTACCAGCATGCAACACCCCAAATTCATGCCTGAGAAGAACAGATTGGTTTTTGTAAATAATGAGTAATTGGGCTTTTTTTCCCTTAAATAGTGTTTCAAAAATAGTAGACACAATATAGATCCATATACACATGTTTATGATATTAACTATATACATTGACCAGTAAACTATTTAATTTTTAAGTTGAGCACAAAATGTACATGAGGAAAAAAAAGCACATGAAGGGGAACAAAGGCCCTGACTTGGTTAACCTGGAGTAAGTCAAATCCTTACTTAATGCCTGAGACTTTTAATATTCTTCCTTTAGGAGAAAAAGGCTTCAAGAAGAGCTATGCTTATCTGGTGGTGGGAATGTAAACTAGTGTAGCCACTGTTGAAAGCAGTATGAAGGCATCTCAGAAAACAAAAAATAGAAATACCATATGACCAGTAATTCTACCTCTCAAAATTTAAACCAGACCCCTCACACCCACCCCCAAAAATTCACTGCTTTAAAAAGATATATGCACCCCCTAGGTTTACTGCTGTATTACCTACAATAGCCAAAATATGGAAGAAACCAAAGTGTCCATCTACAGATGAATGGATAAAGAAGATATGGTACAAATACACAATGGAGTATTATTCAGCCATAAAAAAAGAAATCTTGCCATTTGCAACAACATGGATGAACCCAGAAGGTATTATGCTAAATGAAATAAGCCAGGCAGAGAAAGACAAATACTACATGATTTCACTTATATGTGGAATCTAAAAAAACAAAACAAACAAAATAGAAATAGACTTATAGACACTGAGAATGAACTGGTGGTTACCATGGGGGAAGTGTGTGGGGGTGGTGAGGAGGTGAAGTAAGTGAAGGAGATAAAGAGGCACAAAATCTCAATCATAATATAAATTACACAGGGGGATGAAGGTACAGCATAAAGAATATTGTCAATAATTCTACATCTTTCTATGTTGACAGATAGTAATACACTAGTGGGGGTGAGCATTTAACAATGTAGTTAACTGTTGAATCACTATGTTGCATACTTCAAACCAATGTAATATTGTGTATTAACTATACTTTAATAAAATACAATCATGATTTTAAAAAAAGAGCTGTGCTTAATACAGAGAAATAAATGCCGCTGGGATGAATAAATGAATCTGTGTGTATGTAATAAAGCACACACACACATATATAATAAATATATTTAATTAATTAAAAGATTCCAATTTTTTAGCACTAAAAAGAAATGAAGAAAGTCTTCCAAATCCATAAGACCCTCACATAAGTTTTAAGAAGTATCATTAGTTAATAGTTTTTTCCCTACTTCTTAGGAAAACAGCTGATGGATTCCTCTTCA